ATTATAGATAATGATAAATCTGAGTGGCAGCCTGCAAGAGGAGTTCAGAGAGAGAGTTTGGATCATTAGCAAGTCAAGCAGACTAGTCCTGCATCCCCAAACTGCCTTCCCACGCCAGCATCACTGAATCAGCCAAAACACTTGGTCAAAAACAACCTAGGAGGACCAATCAAGGGCAAGTAAAATGGTCCAACCATATTGCTGTGGATTTAGGAACTTCCTAAACCCACACACCTCCCTCCAGAGAGGGTACTGCACAGGAACTCCTCAAGAACTCCTCAACAGTTGTTATTTTTCACAGTTTCAGAGGAGGGAATACAAAGCAAAGGCACATGAAGTTTCCCTGGCAGCAAGACTTGATGTCTTCATCGATGTAGCAAAGCTACAGGAGGCTTTAAATGCTCCATTTGGGAAAAATGTTGTAATTAGAAGCTTTAATTCAGCAAACTGTCCCTGTGAAACCAACTGGGCAGCAAACAGGCGTTGCACTTGGCTGCTGGAGCAAACCCCTCAGTGAGAACAGCTCCAGAGGATGGCACAGCAGCCACCCACACACCAGCACCTCCAGGGACACCAAGGGGACACCGGGATTTCAGCAGCTCAATTCTGCAAACCAAAATCCTCCAGGCAACGTGACAGGCTGGGGTTTAAAGCTAAAGAGCGAGAGGCAGGAAATCCAAATGCAACAAAAAGCTTCAACCTGGAACAAAATCAATCCACTCAAGGAGGCAGCTTGGGCACCACAGGGCAGCCTTCCCAGTTTAGATGATTTTAGCAGACAAGCAAAATGAAGTTTCTACAAAGCTACTCCTGAGCAGCCACAGCCACATCAGGTGGGCTGTGCAGCTACAAAGGTGACAACACAAAAAGAGCACAGCAATTCACCTGCAAGGGCAGGAAAGGAGACTTCTGGTGTGGACCTGCTGAGCTGGGCTGAGCACAAAGAGCCAGCAGAAAGCAGGACCCGTGACTCTCAGAATGCCAGAGACCTCTATAGAATATATACAGATAGACAAATATAGATATATGCTCTTTCTCAGCGAACAGGCAGCAGCCTGACACCTGCCTGGCTCCTGTCATGGAGCTAGAATTCCTATCAAAACAGAAGTGCCAGTTTTTACCCCAGACTGTCTCCCAGGAGCACTCCCAGATGAGCAATTCAAGCTGACACAGGCACTATTTCAGAGCGCTGGTTTTGAAGAGTATCATGGAGGCTTTTCTCCACTTAGGAAAGGCTTCACCACGTGTTCTGCACTGTATTTTTGTACTCCTGACTCACAACCAAATTAATTCAGTTGTCATCAAGCCCAGAGATGAAAAGAAGCACAAAATCCTCCAGCATCCTTTTCCCCAAGCAGCTGCTGAAGGTCTGCCCTGCCTGAAAGCTTCACAAAGTTTCAACTCCTTCACATGCAGCTCAGAATAATTTCCTTGGGTGTTTCTGTTTGTTGTTTCAGCCTAAAACAGATCAAATGGTCTCAAAATAAACCTGGTTGTTCCCATCTAAAATAATTGTTGAAAAAAACCACTTGTTCACTCATGACAGACTCGGCATCAACACGCAAAAATAATATTCTGACATGGTTACAAATGAGGTGTTAAACTCCAACAGCCTTTTTGAGCAGAGTTAAGACATTCCAGAAAGGATTACAGTAAATTAGCTGAATTACTGAGAGGTAATTACATTTTTTGAGGGGGGAGATTGTTTGGCTTAAGTTCCTTGAGGGTTTTCAACAACTCCAAGTAGATAACCACATCATCTATCTTCTGCACTGTTACCTGCTGTAGTCTGACCCTGGGACCCAGGTTCCAGGTCTCTCAGAGCTGGAAGAGTTTATATTCACATCTGACAGGGAGCTGGAGCTCTGCAATCTGCTTCAGGCTACGTGTCAGCAGCTGGAGCTGAGAGGAAATCAGCTGATGAACTTTATGTCGGGAGGAAAAACAGCTTTGGCACAACCTTTATAGATAATTCCTGTCTCAGGGGGTTTGGCACTTTAAAGACTTACTATTTTAAAAAGCTTGTAACCATCTTTAATATTCAGGATTGTTTCCATGTCCTGAAGTACAGCCAACATCTGCTGCACAACACTGAGGGTGACAGAGCACTTGTGTTCCCAATGACAAGAATAAACATGATCCAAATCACAGAATCCCTGAATGGTCTGGATGGGAAGGGACCTTAAAGCTCCTGTCGTTCCACCTCCTACCATACACAGGGACACCTTCCTGGAGGATAAAACCACCAACATCCACATTTGTATTTTCACCGCTCAAGTGAGACAAGCAGCCCAAGAGATGCTACAAAGATGACACCGCTTTGGATTCAGCCTCGGGGTGTCTGACACGCTCCTCGCCGAGCCCACAGCCCGTCAGACAGCGCCGGGAGCCAGGCACGGCTCGGAGCAGCTGCTGGAGCTTCCTTCTGTCCCCCAGGAGAGCAGCCCCAGCCTGGGCTGACTTCCCAAGCCCGACATTCCCAGCACAGCATCCCAGGCCACCCTTGCACCGCCACCGCAGCGCCCGCAGCCACGGGCACCGCTGGGGAAGGAGCCGCAGGCTCTGGCAGGGTACAGCAGGAGCAGGTTACACAGCTAAGGGAGGAGGGTTGGGGTGTTCGGATGGAAGGGTGTGATTTGGGCAGCTGTAGCAGCCGGAGCTGCTGCACCAGGAGCGGAGGGATGGAGAGAGAGAAGGATGGGAGATCCAGGGCGATCCATCATCCCGCGGCCCCGCTGCCCCCGCCGGACCCCCGCGGCTCTGCAAGATCAAAACCCGAGTTTGGCTTTAAAAGACGAAAAAAAAGCCCAAACTAAACAATACGAGGCGATTTTCGCTGTGCAACAGCGCAGCTCCCGCGGTCCGTCCCCCCTCCCGGCGGCCCCTGCCCGGCCCCCCGGCCCCGGTACCTGTAGTAGCTGAGCAGCCCATTGCTGAGCACGAACCAGCGACGCTGGTAGCCCTTCAGGTAGTTGGTCCACTTGAAGAGCCACCCCTTGTAGGTGTCGGAGCCCGGGGGGGCGGCGGGCGCTCCCCCCGCCGGGCCCCCGCCGCCGCGGCCGCCTGGCTCGGCGCTCATGGCCGGCAGCTCGTGGCAGGCCAGGCAGGGGACGGCGCTGAGGAGCGAGACCAGCCCGCGGGTGCCACCGCCGCAGAGCGCGGCCGCCTTCCCCATAGACCCCGCGGGGCCCGGCCGAGGCTCCGCCGCTCCCGGGGCGGCCCCGGCCCGTCCGCACCGAGCGGGGGCGGCGCCGCCGCCACGTGACCGCCCCACGGGGAGGGGAGCGGAGGGGAGCGCCCCCCGGCGGCGGGGCGGGAACGGCGCGCACCGCCCCCGCCCTCACACCGCCCCCGCCATTTTGGCCCCCCGCCGCCATTTCATGCCAGGGGGCTGGGGCGGGCGGGACGCTGAAAACTGTTCTCTGTAAATCTTCCCGTAAAAAATCCTCCTGGGTGCCCCCTGCCCTGCTGGGAGGAGAAGCCCCATCCTTCTGTCCCGCTCACCCGCTCCCTCCAGCAGCACACGGGCCTGGATTTTGTGCCTGAGGAGCTGCCTGTCCACAGGGCAGTGTGGAGGCCTGTGGCAGGTGCCACCCGGCCAGGTGTTCCCATGTCTGCTGAGGGTTCTTCCCTTTCCCCTTTCTCTTCCCAACCTTTTTTTCCCTTCCTCGTTCTCTCTTCCCTTTTCCCTTTCCCCTTCCTTCTTCCTCTTTATCCTCTCCTCTTCATTCTCCCCCCCATCATAGATCACGCCTCACTCATCTCCCTGATCCTCTCTGATCCCCCTGATCCCATTATCCTCAGCCATCACCTTCACACACTGTCACAGCCGTGCCAGGCGCTCAGGAGGCTCCCCCAGCCCTGGGAATTCTCCAGAGAGGGCACTGGGCTCCAGGCTGGGCAGCTCCGAGGGTGAGCAACACTCCACATGCTGCTCTGGGCTGAGCCCTGGCTCCTCTGCAGCTGGGCGAGCCATTCCTCCCTGGAGCGTCCTTCAGGCAGGAGCACCAGGGACACTGAGGCAGCCTGTGGGGCCACTCCTGGGTCTGCAACAGCCTGAGAGGGCTTTGGACTCCAAAGGCAGCTTTTCAGAGAGCCATGGAATGGGTTAGGGTGGGAAGGGACATCAGAACTCATCCCAGTTCCACTCCCTGCCATGGGCACGGACATCTTCCACTAGCCCAGGGTGCTCCAAGCCTCAATGTCCAACCTGGCCTTGGGCACTGCCAGGGATCCAGGGGCAGCCCCAGCTGCTCTGGGCACCCTGTGCCAGGGCCTGCCCACCCTGCCAGGGAACAATTCCTGATTCCCAATATCCCATCTATCCCTGCCCTCTGGCACTGGAAAGCCATTCCCCTTTGTCCCAAGTCCCTCTCCCACTCTCCTGGAGCCCCTTTAGGCACTGGAAGGGCCTTTAAGCTCTCCCTGGAGGCTGTAGGCTTTTGGGAACTGAAGTCTATCTGGACAGGGAATGTCTTTCCTGATGTAATTACACCCCAAACTATCCACATGGCTGCCAACTTCTCAAAGTCTCATGGATCCCAGTATCTCTTGTGGCTGCCAAGAAGGGAACACACTTTCCTTGGCCATGTCTAAGGAGAGAGGAGCCTGACCCATGCCACTGCTCTCTCCTGGGAAGGGAGGCTGCAAGGAAGGACCCTAAAATCAGGAGTGGGCTGTCAAATCCACACAAGTAGGACATGACAGGATGAGGGGAAATGGCCTCAAGTTGTGCCAGGGGATGTTTATATTAAATATTAACAAAACTTTTTTTTGTGGAAAGGGTCCTGAAGCCCTGGGATAGACTGCCAAGGGAACTGGGTAGAGTCACCATCCCTGGAAGTGTTCATAAAACATGGGGATGTGACATTTGAGGACAAGGGTTACTGGTGAACATGGTGGTACTGGCTTGACTGGATGATCTTAAAAGTCTTTTCCAATCTTAACAATTCTGAATGCTTTTATCTGGAAGAGCTCAGACACAGCAGCTTGGCCAGGGAAACAAAAGGATTTGGGGCTTTATTTCTTGCCTTTGCCCTTGCCCTTTCCCTTCTTCAGTACTGACTTGTAGATGGACCGCACCAAGTAGCCTTTCCAGAAGGCCTGGATGCAGGTGGCAGCTTTGTTCCTCCTGGCCTCCTCCCGTGCAGCTTCCTCCTCCTTCTCCTTGAGTATCCTGCGCTCCTCCTCGATCAGGGTGTACTCCTGGAGCAGCATGGCATGTTTCTCCATCAGCAGGGACAACTGCTCCTTCTCCTCATTGTAGACAGCCTGGAGCTCATCATATGTGGTCTGGCAGGATAGCAGGGATCAGGGACAGCTGGGCAGCAGTTCCTCCCCACATCCCCACGTGAGGGTCCTGAAACCCATCCCAAAGCCATGGAACCTCAACTGGTTGGAGCCTTTCCAAAGGGATTCAAAAGGAAGGCATGTGCCCAGTACCCAGGGAGTTTCATGACATGCTGGGTCCCTTGATGCTCCCCTGAAAAATGCTCCCACACACAATGGAAGATTTGGAGAACCAGCAGTGCATCTGCCAGGGTGCTGGAATGAGCTGAGCTCTCCACAAGCAGCCCTGCTATGGCAGGAGCTGCAGCAGGAACTGCCTGACACAGCCCTTCTGCCAAAGATTTTGGGGCTTGTACTGCAGCTCTAACTTGGGTTTGATGTTTTGTCAGTGTGGGGGTGGGTCTGCCTTGCCAAATTCTGGCCCAAACATGGGGCTCCTGCCTCTCCACGGACAGGAAACCAGAATAATCCCATTATTAAACATCTGAGAGGGGATCATTCCTTACAATTAGCAGCAGCTTTCAGGCCCCTCCCTATATTTTGCTCTGTAAGGAATCCAGCAGCTTTTATCCAAACCCATAAAAACTGCAGGAACAGGAAAGCCCCCAGGGCCTTCCTGGGGGCAAGTTTTGGGGGTGCTGATGTGACCCTGAGCCTGTTATGGCTCAGTTGTGGGCAGGCTGTTGGGTTTCTTAACACTCAGCACATCCCCCAAGGATTCAGCAGGAACAGGAGCAAGATTTGGACACCAGGTAGGGCCATGAGGGTTGAGGATTGGAGCAAAACTGAAAAACCTGTTTCCTGGCATCAGGTGGACATCCCAGACAGAACATGGTGACCCATTTGCCCCCAGATACTGTGGGATTTAGCACAGATTTATCCCACATTTACTGTGGGATTTACTGTGGGGTTGAGTGGATGTAACTTTTCCTAAAGCCAAAGCAGCAGAGGACTCCTGGACACACAGGCAGGAGGACAAAGATCCCTTTCCTGTAGGTTTGCCTGGATGCAGAACTGCCTCTCACTTCCATGGTCTCCTGGGTAAGAGCCATGTGTCCCTTTGGACAGGAATCTACCCAAGCAAATCACTTTATGGCAGAGCAAAGCACTTAAAGCCAACACCTGTTTTTCTGTCATATCTATGTCGTATTTCTGGACCCATTCCTGAATTTTCTTCTCTGCTTTGCACTTTTCCTGAAACACAAAACAAGATCAGATCCTTGAAGACATCTGAGGCCTGGTAAGAAGTGTCCTGAGTGAGAAAACAGGGAAACTTTAAGCCACATCATCATTATATCTAAGTATTTGAGCCACAGCATCATTATATATCTGAATATTTCACCTCCTCCCTGTGACAAGCTTCCCTCAGCTGACACATATGTGGTTTGCCCTGGTTTAAGGATTCTCCTGGGACATTCCCAGAGGGCTTTATTTGGTTTACAGCATGGAGCTGGGGGGATGAACAGCACCTGGAAGTTGCTTTCTGCAGGAGGAAATGAATATGTCTGATGGAATGGGGCAAGTCATTGACAAACTGGGGCAACCAGCTTGAAACTGAAGCAAGAGAGAACTGCAAAACCTGAATTTGGGACAAAAAGTAATCAGAAGATGATGGTGCCTTTTAAAATAAAGATCTTTCTGGCTGTAAAACATTTTAACAGTGGCTGTACTCCTGTACAGCCTGGGGCAGGTTACCTCCAGCTCTGGATGTGTGCTCTGTGGAATCATTCCTGCTCCATTTCCTGTGTGGCACAACCCCAGGATGGCCCAAGGGCTCCCAGGCCATCACGAGGTCCCACCTGAGCTATTTAGACCACAAGTACAACTTGTACTTGCTGAGGAAAGGAGGCTTCTGTGGTCAGTAAATGCATCTGCCAGGGTGCTGGAATCAGCTGAGCTCTCCAAAGCAGCCCTGCTGTGGCAGGAACTGCAGCAGGAACTGCCTGACACAGCCCTTCTGCCAAAGATTTTGGGCCTTGCACAGCAGCTCTAACTTAGATCTGATGTTTTGTCAGTGCCCAGCCCTTCATGCTGTACCACCCAATGCAAGAGTGACAGATACCCCATCACCACCTGGGCTTACTGCCCATGGGAGGCTGCACTGGTTTGGAGAGAATACTCAGGATGAGCAAAATAAGAAGGAAAACGACCTTTTTTCCAGTTCTTGGTTCTCTGTGTCACCAGTGTGTTCTGCTCAGGGCAGAGCTGGTGCTACAGGGGCCTGAGCCTGCCTGCTGGTCCCAGTCCTCCTCCTGAATCTGCTCAGCCCTGGGGACAAGGACTTTGAGGTGCTGCTGGGTGAGGGCTGCACCTGCCCCAACCCTGGAACCACCTCAGCCCTGGGCTGAGCCCCCAGTGTGGGCAGCAGGGGAGGGGGGATTCTGCTCCTCTGCCCCACCTGCAGAGCTGCCCCAGCCCTGGGGAACGACATCAGGAAGGACCTGGAGCTGCTGGAGAGAGTCCAGAGGAAGGCATGGAGATGCTCCAAGGGCTGGAGCCCCTCTGCTCTGGAGCCATGCTGGGAGAGCTAGGGGTGCTCACCTGGAGAGGAGAAGGCTCCAGGGACACCTCAGAGCCCCTTGCAGGGCCTAAAGGGGATCCAGGAGAGCTGGAGAGGGACTGGGGACAAGGGATGGAGGGACAGGAATGGATGGGATATTGGGAATTAGGAATTGTTCCCTGGCAGGGTGGGCAGGCCCTGGCACAGGTGCCCAGAGCAGCTGGGGCTGCCCCTGGATCCCTGGCAGTGCCCAAGGCCAGGCTGGACATTGGGGCTGGGAGCAGCCTGGGATAATGGAAGGTGTCCCTGCCCATTAGAGGGGGTGGCACTGAATGGGCTTTAATGTCCCTTCCCACCCAAACTATTCTGGGATGATTCTATGAAATTACATTTCCCCCCCATTCAGCCCAGCCTGACTTCTTGGCTTGTCTGTTCTGCCAAGCTGGGCAGAGCAGGACCTGCTGAGCCCTCAGCATCAGCTCCATTCCACCTTGAACAATAAATCAGCTCTAAAAGATGCCTTCTACCAAGCCAATATTGTTTGCTCTGCTCCCTCTACAGCAGACCCCTTGTTTGTCACTATCCCACACGTGTCCTCCTGCTCAGCCTGGCTGCCCTGAGCCCTGCCTGGTGTCACAGCACAGTGGGAAGGTGTTCCCAGAGCCGAGGCAGCCAGCAGGAGCAGGACCTGTGACAGCTCTGTCCCTGCTGTCGCTGCAGGGCTGCTTTCCACTGGAATCAGCAGAGCATGAGGACAGGGCGGGTGTGCTCTGACAAACACCATGTGCATCCTGCCAGGAACAAGCAGGGCCCAGGAAACTCCTTGCAGCAGGCAGCAGCCAGAGCTGACAGCTCTGCAAAAGGGCTTAAACCTCCTGTCCCAGGGCTCTCCTCCCCTTTACCTTCCTGAGAACCAGCTCTGAGGCTCGATGCTCCAGCACCAGTGCATTGAACTGTGTTCCCAGGCGCTGAATGTCCTCCTTCAGCCTGGCACACCTCTCCTGGGAGGCTTCCTCATCCTCTTTTTTCTGCTTTTCCCCTTCCTTCATGATCAGCCGGATTTCAGCCTTGCAGTTCTTGGCCAGATCTTCCATGGTGGTTTTGAGGTTTTCAATTGTTTTGTCCTTCCTGCTAACCTAGACCAGAAAACAAGAGGAATACCTTTGAGAAATGTCCCTGAGGCATAGGGTGAGCAGGAGAGGAAAAAACATTGCAAAGCTGGAGGAGATCCAAGAAGGGACCCCAGGGGCCAGCTCAGGTAGCACCAAGGCCCTGCCACTGCTGGCTGAGGGAAGAGTTAGATTTACACAGGAGCTCTGGAACCTTCCCCTGGCTCCTCTGAGAACCTGTTAGTAAAGGCACAGGGTGAACAAACCATCCCAAGCCCCACTGGCACTGCCACCTGAGGAGCAGCCAAAACAGATTCCCTGGAGTAGCCCTGTGGCTCCCTCAAGGGCTGGATCAGCCTCTGAGTGACTGTCTGGGAAACAAGCTCAGGGAGGGAAATCCCCAGCTGGGATCGGTGAAACAGATTTATTCCCTATGTCCTGGACAAGCTGCCAAATTGCACATAAAAATCTCAATTCCCAGAACTCCAAGGAGCAGAGGGAAAGGGGAAAGCAGGCCCTTGGCTCTGCCACCAGTGAGCTGGGCAAAGCCTTCTCAGCCAACCCCTCTTGCAGGGAGGAGAAAGAGAAACCCAGGTAGAAAACAAAGGATTGTTGTCAGAAGCTCTGGGCTTGCTACACAGGCTGGGAAAGTGCCTGGGAAGTGCCCAGTCAATTATCTGCACCTCAGCTGCAGATAAAATTAAAGATTCATGTAATTTGTATAATCACTGATTAATCACAAAGGCTCCAAAGCAGCTGTTAGAGTCGGGAGTCACAGAAATGTTGGTTTTAAGCAGGAGTGAAGACAGAGCAAATATTAAAAATGGATTTTAATCAGAGCAATCTCTCCCTGTAATGATTTTTCATTCTTTCAGCAGCAGGGAATGAAGCAGCTGGTGTTGTCACCCTGCCAGGATACCACCACAGCAGTTTGTGCCTGTCCTGCCACTCCTGTGGAACTCAGGGACTTAAATTGTTTAAGTTGGCTGGTGACAGCAGGTTCAAAACATGCCAAATGCGAGTTAAAAAAAATCAAACATGCAATATGCATTTTTCATTATATTTTACAATAGAAATAGTATTTTTAAGTTATAGATCTGGTTTTGAAAGGATTTCTGGAACTTGTTCTTTAGGAACTGCAATAAAGGGATCGGTTTATAGTTAGCAAGGTTTTGCTGCAGTAAAAAGCAAGTTTCCACTTGGTTGGAAAACACATTCCCACAAGATCATACCTCTTCATCTCGAGTCTGGATGACTCCTTCTAGCTCTCCCTGTAGAGCTGAGATCATTTCTGTGTTTTTCTCAACTTGGAGGGAAATGTCTTTCATGAATTGAATCATTTCCCTCTCCTCATCAGGAGTGGTCAGGAGCCTCTCGAGTGTGAAGTCCCGGAACTCCATGAAGGCTTTGATGAACACATCAGCTGGTGACTCTTTCACCCGAACTTCGAATTTCAGCCCATGGTAAAGCAAGGGGTTGGCCAGGAAGAGCCTCAGGATGTTTCTCAGGGAACTTTTCAGGCGTTTCTCCACAGCTCTCATGGTCTTTGCATCTCCAGGGCTGGTGAGCAGGTGCTGTATTTCCATTGAAAGCTTCTGAAGCTCCAGAAGGCTGCTTGTGATCTCAGGTCCCAGCATCCTCCCATACCTGTCCAGGGAGGCAGTAATCCGTGGGATCAGCCTGGTGATCTCCAGCTTGACAATGGTCTCATCCAAGACAGTAAGGATTCTTTCTGTCTCCGTGCTGTCAGGCTTTAGCTGGCGTGGATCTAACACCTTCATGACACCTAAGGGGATCCCTGCCTTCCTTGGAGTTGCCATGCCCTTCACCAAGGTTCTTTGCTTCATGAGGATGCTTGGAATGCAGCTGGATCCCCTGTTGCCATGGATTCACTTAAACACCAGTGGCCTGGGTGGTTTGAGGTCTAGCAAGGACACGGCAGCTCTTACACAAGGTGAGACTCTGGAAGAAAATGCAGGTCCCTGTGCTGCTGCTGTCACATAATCTCCCTTCTTGGATTTTCTCTCTAAAAGGAAAACACAGTGACAGCATTAGAGAAACGATGTAATTTGGGAAAGCATGAGAGTCTGAGATTACCCTGGAGTTCTCTGTGAGTCTGGGCAGGGGGTCAGGACATGGGGTAGTGGATTAGAGCTGCTCTCTGTCCCAGAGCAGTTGTCAAACACCCATGGGAAGGGGGTGATGGATTCCTGGCTTTGAAGGGTGGTGGGGGGAAAGCTCCCAACAGCTTCTGAGTAGCAGCTGAGGTAGACCAGCTCAAGGTGCAGCTCTGCTGTCGCCAGAAGGGGGTGGAGAGGGGTTTGGAGAGCCCTGGGGCCACCCTGGAGGGAAGGGTACGGTTCCTAGTGGGAAACCTCTATGGGAAACCTCTACCCTTCCAGGCCTGTCCCTGTAAGAGGGAGGAGGAGGGAGAGGGGATCTGACAGGACTGGCAGGCACAGAGCAAGAGGAGGAGAGAGGGGAGGGGAGGAGATGGGAACAGCTGAAGTGGAGGGGCCGACAGGGAGTGAAGGGTCCCCTCTGTGTGGGTGTGGGACAGCAGGAGGACCCAGAGACTGGGGAACAGTCAGAGGTCGGGGCGGTGATTCCCGGTGGGGAGACCCCCGTGCGAGGGGCGGGCGGCGAGGGGCCGGTGCGGGAGGATCCGGGGGGTCCGTGGGACCAGCGGCCCTGGGCATCCCGGGGGCGGGACGGAGTGTCTCAGGAGTCGGTTACGGGGAATGCTGACCCCAGGCGGCCTCCACCCCTGCAGCGCACTCAGTTCCGATGCCGGTCCCGATCCCGGTCCCGGTCCCGATCCCGATCCCGATCCCGATCCTGGTCCGTATGCCGGTCCCGCCCTCAGCGCCTCCCGTTGCCAGGCGACCCGAGGGGGCGGGGCCTTTCCGGCCGTTCACGGCGAGCTGTGCTGGCCCCGCCTCCTGTCCCTTGATTGGCAGCACCGCTGTCCAATGAGGAGTCCCGCGGCTGCGGCTGCCGGAGGTTGGGGTGTGTCATGGCGCCGGCGGGGGCTGTGAGGGGTGGGGGGGAGCAGGTGGTTCGTCCCCTCCGGGCTGTCCAGATCTGTGTTCCTGAGAGCACAACGAGTAACCCTAGAATAAACTTTATCCCCCCCGTGGTGACGTCTGCCAGGCGCGGATCAGCCCAGTGGGTGTCCAGGAGCCCCGAAGGGGCTGTTTTGAAATGTCAGGACACAAGAGAGTTCCCCTGAGCAGCGCTGTTAACGTGGCTGGTTTTACAGGGCCATAAAAGTGATAATGAACCTCAGCTGATGAAGATGCTGATGCTGTACAGGCTGAGTTAATTGCTTACCTGCGATTTACTGACGTCTGCAAAGAACATGATGGCCCCTGAACGCTGCCCTGCAGCCGTGCCCTCAGCCTGTGCCCGGGCAGTGATGGATGCCCTCGGGAGAGGAGGGTTTGGTTTCCAGCAGCAAATACGGCAAATGCTGAGCTCCAGGCCATGCTCACAGCAACCTCTGTCCCTCGCAGGAGCTGGCACAGCACAGTTGTGGGGTGGCCATGCCCTCACAGGCAGCCTTGTCCCAGGTCCCAACCTTACCTGGCCTGAGCAGCTCCTTTATTTCTGTGCAGGGAGTGTCCAAGTGCAGGATTATTTCTTCTCACCCATTCCCAACTGCTTCCCTACACAAAGCAAAGAGGGGCTGGTGGTGGGAGATGTAGTGAGACCACCAGGATTGGGCTTTCTGGTGTGGCACTGGTGAGGATGGATGAGGGGACACTTGGCCTTCCTGCCCACCTGGGCATACCTGGTACCACCTCCAGCACCCCCAAGGCATTTTAGGCTCATTACCTGGAGCAGTGACCTCCATGTGGGTTCCCTCCTGCCCTGAGTGGCTCGGCCAAAGGACTGATTCAAATCAAGAATGGGATTGAGTGTAATAGTGACTCTGGGTTTGGTCCCACCCCAAGCTGGGACATGCCCAGCCCGCTGTGGAAAGAAGAGGTAGCTGGAACTGTGAGGCTGCCCCATAGCCTCCAGGGAAAGCACTGACCTCCCCAGGAACACCTTCTAAAGCTCTAATTCGGCAACTGGGATCCCATAGCTGCACTATGATCGGGAGTACAGCAGAGCTGTGATTTGAGGCTACAGAGGGGTGTGCTGTCAGCTGGATGTGTCCTCATGGAACTCATCACATAACAGAGAACAACCCTTGAGGCATGGAGAGCTGCTGCTTTTCTTGACAAGGACTCCAGAAGGGATCCCTGACTCCCCTGAAAGGCTGCCACATGCACTGCAGATATTTTGGAATGAAATCCATCATGAAAATAATGTCTTTCCAAAGTTGAGGAGTGTCCTGATTGCTTTATTTGAAATGTGCTACTGCTCTCCAGGAAGTGCAGACTTGGACTTCTAACAACCATGACTTGGAGATGGCATCAACTGGCCAGTGACTGTCACCAGAGACCCCTGTGTCTGGTGTACACAGCCTGCTTGAAGGGACAGCAAGTCCTTGTGACATCCAGGGAAAGAGGAAGGAAAGGGGTGGAGCCGTGGGTCGCATCCAAACCTCCTCTGAAGTAGGGAAGACTGTGGATCACTGCTGCTCCCTCCTGGATCTGGGTAATTACAGACATTGCTGTCTTGCAGGAGGAGATGGGGATAATGACACGTCCAGAGCAGCCCTGACTCGTCCTGCAGCTCCACACTGCTCCAGGCCAGCAGCAGCTCTTCAGCCAGGAGGAAAACTGGGTCACTTTGGGAGCTGGATGAAGCATCACCAAACCTGCGTCAATCCCACCTCATCCAGGATGTAGAAAAGCCTCAGATCTATCCTCAAACAATTCTCTGCACCCAAACCCACCAGACTGCATCACTGCCTGAGCCAGAGCTGCCCAAGAATCCAAATTATGTGGGGCATGTCCAAGCAGGGGAGGGAGAGCCAGGAGCCCCTGGGCACAATGTCCCCCACAGTTTGAGTCCATCTGTGTTCCAACAGCAGGACTGTGACAGATACCTGAGGACCATAGACTTCCCTGGGCCAAGCTAGCCTCAGCCACCACCCAAACCCCTCTCCTGGTGCTGAATCCCATTCCTCTGCAGCAAAGGGAAGCACAGCTCAGAGTGTGGGAGCTGGCTGGGAAAAACATGATCCACCCCAGCCTGGTTTGCCCAAATAATTCCCCTGTTCCTGCTACCACCCACCCCTCTGTGGGACCTGGGAAGGGACATCAAGGAGGGGCATAATTTGAACTAATTGTGAAATGTTGGTGAAAGAGCAGAAGCACACAATGAAGCCTTACTGCAGGCAACAGCACCCCATCCTGTCACTGCAGGGACAGTCCCCTCCTGCCACAGTCCTTTGGCTGTAGCCTTACATTGTGCTCTGCTGCTGGCAGCGTGGAGCTCTGGCACCACATCAAGCCCTGGAGGACTCCACAGGGCCAGCTGATCCCTGACCACAGCCCTCCTGCAGCTTTGGCTGCTGTTCCTCATTCCCATGTCACACTGTCAGTGGGATGATGGCATCTGTATCCTGAACAGTTGGGAAGGAGTTTGCACTTTCCTGGCCCCCAGAGCCTGTCAGGAAGGCCCAGGCAGGGCACAGAGAGACCAGGGAGTCCCTGCAGCACAGAGCTGGCTGAAGGGATGAGTGTAGTGGGGTTGGTGTTAGCTCTGAGCTAAAAGATCCAACAAGGAAAACGGGAGGGCTGGAGGTGCTGGGTTGGCTTTGAGAGCACCAGGCTGGAGCTGGGTGGCAGGAGCAGGAGTGCAGAGGGACACAGCCAGCTGTGGGCAGATGTGGCACGGCGAAATGTCCCTGGGCCTGTCAGGGCACTGAGACCAGAATGTGTGAGTTTGGTCCTAATCTGTCTGCTGAGGCCAAAGGAGGACACACAAATCCTGTGTCCAGTTCTGGGCCCTTTATGACAGGAAAGACCTGGAGGGGCTGGAGCGTGGCCAGGCCAGGGAACGGAGCTGGGAAGGGGCTGGAGCCCCAGCAGAGGCTGAGGGAGCTGGGAAGGGGCTCAGCCTGGAGCAAAGGAGCCTCAGGGGGGCCCTTGTGGCTCTGCACAGCTCCTGCCAGGAGGGGACAGCCGGGGGGGTCGGGCTGTGCTCCCAGGGAACAGGGACAGGAGCAGAGGGAACGGCCTCAGGCTGGGCCAGGGCAGGGGCAGGGTGGATTTTGGGGAAATTTCTTTATGGAAAGGGTGGTCAGGCACTGGCACAGCTGCCCAGGGCAGTGGTGGAGTCCCCATCCCTGCAGGGATTGAGCAGCTGTGTGGATGTGGCACCTGGGGACAGGGGACAGTGGTGGGAGAATGGTTGGACCTGATGCTCTCAGAGGGCTCCTCCAACTTTAAAGATTCTGTGATTCCATGAGTCTGCAGCAAGTCACAGCCTCCATCTCCCAGGTGAAAGCCCGCTGCTCCCTGGCTCTGCCGAGAGGGAGCACGCAGGGCTCGGTCAGCACCGACACCCAGCCCCTGCAGGGCCCGGCCCGGGTGTGCCAAACCCCGAGCCTGCCCGGGGAACACCCCCAGCCTGCCCCGGGAACACCCCCAGCCTGCCCCGGGAACCGCCCAGCTCCGGCTGCTCCAGAGGCTTCAAGGCCACGGGGCTGGGGAGGGGGCAAGGAGAGGGCAAAGGGGGACAGGCATCGCCCCGGCTTGGGGCTCTTCATCACGGGGTGCTGCTGCGTGCCAGGGCTGACCGCCCATGGGAAGGAATGCTGGCACCAAGGACAGCACCGAGCTGGGGGAGCGGAGCAGCTGGTGACAGGCTCCTCCCAGCACAGAGGGGCTGAGCTCTGTGACCTCCACACAGAGGAGCTCTGTTAGAGCCCTGCAGCCCCTCTGCCTCCACGGCAAGGAAGGGACACATCCCCCGCTCCCCCCG